AAACTATACTCTTGATTAAACTATACTCTGGATTAAACTATACCCTTGATTAAACTATACCCTTGATTAAACTATACCCTTGATTAAACTATACCCTTGATTAAACTATACTCTGGATTAAACTATAGACTTGATTAAACTATACACTTGATTAAACTATACTCTTGATTAAACTATACTCTTGATTAAACTATACCCTTGATTAAACTATACCCTTGATTAAACTATACCCTTGATTAAACTATACTCTGGATTAAACTATACTCCGGATTAAACTATACCCTTGATTAAACTATACTCTGGATTAAACTATACCCTGGATTAAACTATACCCTGGATTAAACTATAACCTGGATTAAACTATACTCTGGATTAAACTATACCCTGGATTAAAGTTAATCTTTCTGTCAAGCAAGTATGAAAATATGGCTTCACAAACATTTCCATCCCCTTAAGATAATAACAACTGTCTCTCTCTTAACAAAGTTTACCTGAATGTTGGAATTAATTGGAATTTAAACAGGTAAACTAAAAGTTGTGTCACCTTTTTTAAATCTAAATAAAACTGACTCATGTTTTGAGTCAGGAGTCTCTTCAGAGAACAAGAATCTTTATTGTCTGCTGCGTTTGTTCACTTGTAAAATTAATTATTTAGTTTGACTGTAGTTCCTGTGACATGCCTATCCTTCAAATACAGTCAAAGAAAACATCTTTATATTTAGGAAACTTGGCTTATTACACACGAGTGCACCCATTTTGTCTCATAACTGGCCTATTTTCTTTTGAACTTAGCTCAGCCAAAGTGAAACAGGAAGTGACATCACATCCTTAAAATAAACTCTCTGGTCTTTGTTTATTAAAACAATATTATTTAAAATTTAAATCTTCATCTGTGTTTGATAATATCTGAAAATAATCAAAAGAAACATCAGATTTTTCTCTACAGTCTGTTAGCTGTTGTAACAACGCTCTGTTCACATGCAGACATTCCCCTTTGACATCACTTCCTGTTTCTTCACACGCAAATATCTCAACAACTGTTCATCTCAGCGGCGTGAAAATTGTTTTGCAATATTTTATCAATGTTCTCTTTCTAAAAATGATTTCATGTTTATTACAAAAATTTACCGTAATGTCACAGGCACTTTAAAGCTCTCATTTCTGCACTTTCAGCAAATTTCCCTAAATTTGTTGAAAAATGCGAATCAAGTAAATTTGATCTCTGAATTTTAAACTTTTAGTGTAAAATGACTCAGTCAAATATGATTAAAACCTGCAGAACATTTACAATAATTACGATTGTAATAGAACTAATACTTTTATGTTTAAGCTAGTTATTCNTAATAGAACTAATACTTTTATGTTTAAGCTAGTTATTCGTGACATCCTTTAATGACCTAGGTTTTCATGACATGCTGTTCATCTGCAGATAGAATGATTAAAGTCAGAACAAGATTTGCTAACAACAGTCATTCTTAGATATCACTTGTGTTTATCTTTGTGTTTTCCATTGACCTTGTATCAAATCTTGCTAAGATGACATTATGGTGTTTGTTAATATATACTTTATATGAGGTCTCTTGAGACACAGTGTTCAACAGTAGTGTGGAGAGACAGTGACAGAGAGAAGCAGAGGCACAGAGACAGGCCAGGTTGTTCTCTGCATTTCCTGTTGTTGCAATAAAACTCAGCTGATCATCTCATGGAGTACCTTCATTCTTGGACCACGTATTTCTGTCTTTGTTAAATAAATATTACCATAACAACGATAATATCTATAAAAGACAATTAACTGAACTTGTATTGCTATAATTCAACATTTGAACAGGTGAAATAAAAAATTTGTCACCATTTTTAAATCTAAATAAAACAGACTTGTGTTGAGTAAAGTTAAGAACAGGAGGAAGTTGTTTTAGATGATCTTTTCCATGTTTCCAGATGAAAGATAAGTTGATCCAGAGGATGGGGAAGAAGAGCAAAGCGGCGCTGCTGGTCAGCAAGTCCAGCTATAAAGCTGCTTTCCAAACGCTCTGGTCATCTAAAGGCGCCCGCAAGCCCATGATGGAGTTCTGGAGCAAACAGCTGAAGATGGAGGTGAGGGTGTTTCAGGTCAAAGCTCCTGTTTCTGTCTGTTGTTCATCATCATCATCATCACCTCCTCTGCTGCTCGTACAGATGAAGGCCTTGTCGCGGCAGCCGAATAATCCCTTCCATCAGAAGGTGTCGGGCAAGAAGCCGCTGTCCTCCTTCCCCTGGAGGCGCTGTCTGATCTGGGCCCAGGAGAAAGCTCCGCTCGTCATGGCCTGCCTGCGCTCCATGTTTCCTGACATCAACGCCCTCTACAAGAGCAGCCAGTAAGTCTGGGGTGCCCAAAGGTTATCGGCCCGATATCAGGAGATTATGACGTCATACTTATCGGTCCGATATCATAACAAACAGAACCGATAATATATGTATATGTTTGCCTGCGCGTCGGTGAGAATGCGTGTTTATTTTTATCCGTTTTGCTGAAGCCGCTTCCCGTCCGGCTTGACCTGCTCGGGTCCTGTTCAAATGGCGTCGGAAGAAACAACTTTCTCACTAGAACAATAATTAGAATACTCCATGCTGAAAAACAACCAGTCATTTTAATAATTATTAATATTATTTTACTAATTAACCATGTATGTTACACACAATCTTTATAATTATAAACATCGGAACAACTACTCCCAATTTGAGAACATGTAAAGTCTGTTACGTCCTGAATGGAGCACAGAGTCCGTCTGCTAAAATGCTAACAACAACCTAGCGTTCAAGAACTCATCAGTACTTAAATCATTGCTGAGGCTTTCAACAAATCCCCCAAAAAATTACCAGAGAGGACACAGATCTCAGCGCTTTAATGATGGAAATGATGGAGCTTGACAACCAGCCATTCACCCTCGCTAAAGACCAAAGCTTTTATCTCCTTGTTAGCCACAGTTTACCATAGTTAGCCACGGTTTACCATCGTTAGCCACGGTTTGCCCTCGTTAGCCACGGGTTACCATCGTTAGCCACGGTTTAACATCGTTAGCCACGGTTTACCCTCGTTAGCCACGGTTTACCCTCGTTAGCCACGGTTTACCCTCGTTAGCCACGGTTTACCCTCGTTAGCCACGGTTTACCATCGTTAGCCACGGTTTACCCTCGTTAGCCACGGTTTACCATCATTAGCCACGGTTTACCCTCGTTAGCCACGGTTTACCATGCCGAGCTCCTGCTAACGCTCTAATATGGTCGGAATACATTCACACTTTGATTGACAGGTTATCATTTCTGCAGTATTATATCAGAAGCTGTTTCAGGTAGAAAAATGTTTTAAATCATATTATTAATAATAAAAACAAATGTACTTTGAATCTAACTTGTGTTAGTGCATTATCTGTTTTGAAATTGTAGAATGACTTTTTCTTTTGTTTAAATCTGAGATCATTATTAAAGGTCTTTTTTATAATTAATGTCTTATTTAAAAAGATGGCCATTTGAGAAATTTTGTTTGATATATTTTAAGAAATGTTTGTTAAGAGTTTATTATAAAGAGTATAATTTACAGTCATTTGGTTGTGGTCTTGTTTATTTATGTTATGATCTTACCCATTTTTGACTCGTCTTATCTCCTGGCATGTTATCGGTTATTGGTATCGGTTCTTAAAAGAAGTTATCGTGCATCCCTAAGTAAATCCCTCCTCCTCCTGGACCAGATGGATCCAGTCTGATCAGAACCCCCTCTGTTTGTTTGTTTGTTTGTTTGTCAGTCAGCTGACGGAGGAGCAGGCTGTCACGCTGCTGGAGCGCCGCACCGTGGTGGCGCTCTCCGTCCCCCTCTTCACCAGAAACATCTGGAGGAACAACTTCTTGCAGGCCTCTCTGGGGGCGGAGCTACGGCAGCAGGGCTGCTCAGGCTCCGCCCTCGACATGCTCAACACCATGGGTCTGTGTCAGAACAAGGACACAGTCCGGCTGCTGCTGCACCGGCTGAGGAACGGCAGCGACCTGGTGAGTGCTCCAGAAACTTTTAGAAATGAGACGTTTTGAACGAAGTTTAAAAAGAAGTGGACGTTGTTTTGTGTTTATAACCTGAAATATAAAGTCTAAATTTAATTTTTGATCCCAGAAAGTATTTTAAAACAAACATTTAATTATAATCTTTAGGTTTAGAATGAGCTGTTTGGAAATATTGAACATTCTGCAGCTCAAACAATAATTCCATCAACATTTTTAGTGATATTATAAAAATAATTAATGTTAAAAATTTTATCCTCTAAATAATTAAATTTATTGTTGTTTTCGCCACGAGGGCGCACACCTGAGTGTTTTTTGTTTAAATGAAAACAGGACGGAGAGGTGGGTCTGATGGAAGAAGCGATGACAGATGAGGAAGAGGAGGAAGAGGAGGAGGAGGAGGAGGAGGAAGTGAAAGAGGAGGATGATGATGAAGATGATGAGGAAGAACTGATGCTGGGAGTGGAGGAGGAGGAGGAGGAGGAGGAAGTGCAGGAAGGACTCCAGGTGGAGGTCCCGGTTCTGATGGACAAAGAAGAGAAGAAGAGGAGGAAGAAGAAGGCGAAGAAGCAGCGGAAGGAGGAGAAGAGGAAGGAGAAGGGGAGGCGGAGGAAGAGGGAGGAGGAAGAGGAGGACGATGAAGACGAGGAGTCGGAGCAGAAGAAGGTGGTGGTGGTCCGGCTCGGCCTGCTGAAGGGAACCTCAGAGGTGGGGAGGTCCGACCTATCGGCTCCTTAAGACTCTGCAGGCTCCGCCTCTGAACTCTACAAGCCCCGCCTCTTCTGGGCAGAACTGCAGAGGCCACGCCCTCTTCAGGGATGTGAGGCGTTCTGGGAGTTGTCAGGAATTGATGACAAAAGGTCACAATTTTTTTTTCACCAAACGTCAGATTTTTATTTCTGCTTCTAAAAATCAGATCTTCTCTGATGTCGTTTCCTCTTTAACTCTTAAAATGTTTCTCATTTTTCAAACGTTTTAGATTCGATTTGAGATTATAAATAGATCTCAACTGTTCTTTTCTGATGTTTGTTTCTCTTTAACATCTGAATGTTGCTCCAGTTTTAAAACCCTCTCCGTTTGGTTTCTCTGGAGCGTGAGAACTTATTCTGTTCACTGTGACGTCGGAGCGTTCAGTTTTTGCTGACAAAGTAAAAAATTTATTTTTTTTAATGAAGCTGACAGAAGATCCAGTTTGTTTAGTTTTACAGCAGAAACCAGTTTTTTTTTTACTAATAATTCTGAAAATATCTGCAGGACTGTTTGAAATGTTTGTATGCAGGAAGAAACCTGAAGAAAGTTGTTCATTAAAGGAGTTTAAGAATTCAAAAAGAAAAGTTTGATCATTAAAGTTATTTTCACAACATTTAAACAAGTTTTTTAATCTGGAGTTCCTCTAAATCAGTTTTTATTTGCATCCAGACGGAGTTTGACATTAAAAACATTCAAAACTCTTTGTTTACTTTTATTTCTTTATTTACATCCTGAACAAAGAGGATGAGAATAAAAACCTCAAACTGTGGCAGAAAAAAGGGATGAACAGGTTTTTATTTCTGTAACAGGAGCTGCCACAATAAATATTCTGCTAAACGTCTGTTAGAGAAACAGAGTGAGGCGACGTGATTTAAGAGATTAAATTAGCAACATTACAGATTTAACCACTAAGCTTTAACAAATTAGCTGTAGTGAAGAAATATTTGACAGGAAAGAAACCAGATTTCAATTCGCTCATTTCGCAAATTTGACTTCCACATGAGGACTGAGCAGCTTTTATTGTGAAAGGGAGGAAATGGGAGTCAGGTGGGCTGACTTGGTCTGAGTGTAACTTTGGGAGAATTTCAGGTGTTTGTTTCAGACATTCAGGGTTTTCTTGACGGTGAAGATGATGTCTTTGACCTGAGGGAGACTGTTTTCCTCCAGGATTTTGGCGTAGGGCATGGGGATGTCCACGCCCGTTACTCTGGTAACCGGGGCGTCCAGGTAGTTAAAGGCGGGACCTTCAAAGAAAAGAAGATTTTAGCTTCAACACTGTAGCTGTGTTTCTATTGCAAATGTGCGCAAAACTTTGTCGATATTCTGTTAATGTTGAAAAAACAGTTTCACAACTGCAGTGTTTCCATTACGTAAGAAATGTTCTTAAAGTCACGTGAATACGTTTGTTCTC